CCCTGGGGCTAGGCGTTCGCCTTCTGTCCTGATCCCGATTCCTCGGAGAGTACCTGTCTCTCTGATGCGGACTCGGGGTGTTACCCGTCTTCTTTCTTTGATCACTAGGAGGCCGACTAGGCCTATGAGAGTCTCCAAAAGGCGACCGTCTCCTGACTGGAGGGCCAGGGGCGCCAGGTTTCTGGGCTCTTTCCCTGGACGGAGTTCGCTCGTAAAAATCTTTGTGCATATTGACCTGATTCCTACGAACTCTCCAACGGTCGATCTCGTTCCTACAACGAGCGCGAAGCCACTCATAGCTACAAACATCAGGGTTGGATATGTTTCTATCCCACTCCCTGATATCATGCGCTAAACAGTTGAGGTGTCTGACCTTCTCACTGAATAGCGACCGCTTCACCTGCTCGGTTAGCGGTTTATCGAGACCCGCAAGAATGTGGCCCCATTTCGCGATGAATCGCTCGAGTCGTTCCTCCTCTGCATAGAAAGTCGAAACACTACACCGCAGGTTCGAGAGCTCAATTATTCTAAAAGATTGCTCTCCGATGTTTGCAGTTCTCAAGCGGTCGTATAGGAGCCACAAGATCTGCCTACTCTTGATACGGTTGTTGGCGCGCTGAGCAGCCTCGGTGAGACGATTGATCTTATCCATGATCGCAACAGTTCTGATGCACTTTCGAATGGCTGCATTGAACCTGGCTTCAAGGACGTGATATCTACATTCTCCATTCAGTTCCTCAAAGGACTTTGCCTTCTCAACTTCGGTCAGCCAATTGATGACGTATAGTCCATCATAGCTGTAGGCATTGCTAACAGCTTCCTTCATATTGGCTATCCATACCCTCAGACCAGCCGCGTCGGGCTCTGCTGGAAGGTCAATGGAAATGCACTTAGTCGCAGCTGTGCAGTTCGGATCCTGATGACTACTGTATCCGCCACCACCAGTTCCGAATAGGTGCTGTGGGACCTGTGAACTACCGATTGACATTGCACACACAGGGCAAAGGCGAGTAGCCTTTGGAATGCAGATTTCGCACGCCCTTTTCATGCATACCCTACAATCCTCAATCTTGCTAGGGTCAGGAATGTCCCAATTACACATGCGACAATTCCTCTCGGGAGGATCAGGACCACGCATGACTGGCGGGTCAAGGCCCGATGGATCCTTCGGTCTCGCACCATTAGGATCGTAGCCTGGATAATACCCGGTTTCGCGCTTATCCAGGGCTGCAACTGGCGCAGCCTTTGGAGCGCCCTGGGAGCTTGCCGCATTGGGCTGATCCTCAGTAGGAACATCACGAGGTCTATCAACAGGCGCGGTCGCAGAGGCGGGGAGTACGACCGTGTAGGGTTCGTCTCAGGCGCGCCTCCAGGGGACCTATTCCTGATCCGAGTAGCATCGGGGTCCCTCCTCCTCCTGCTTTCGTCCCTAAGGCACGCAAGACAACAGGGTCCTTTGACAAATCCAAATCTCCTGTAGTCATCCTGCCCAGCTGAATGTCTGGTGCAGTAGAAGGTTTTACAAAATTGACAGTCAATTCCCTTCGCCAGGAACGAACTCTCCCTACAGACACCGCATCGGGGTCCGTCGCGGGAGCATTCTTCACACAAATCCTCTTTGAACGAGAAACAGTACTCACAAATCGCACCTTTGCATCCTTTACAATGAAATTCTGCAATAAGGTGGATGCGCCCATCACCCACGTACTTACACCTGGGTTCGCCAGCGTTGCCAGGATTTCCACCGGCAGCACTCCTCTTCCCCCCTCCTCCCGGGCTTTGCCGATCAGGAGGAGGCGGTGGTGGAGGATCATTATCAGGAGGACTAGGCGGAGGTGGCCGCTTATCCGGAGTACGGGAAGTGGCACGCCTACCCCCTGCGTGATCACTCAATCCACTACTCGATGCATGGCTCGAGTACTTTGATTCGAGAGTGTTAATTTTCTGGGCCGTGCTATTTAGCACGTTGAGCATCTGTTCAAGCTTGCTGTTGAGCGTAGTTGAAACAGCCATATTGTGAGTGTTCTGCTTGTCCGTGTAGGACTTGCAGTCCCTTGATTTGACCTCTAAGTTAGTCTGCGTTTCGCAGAGTTGGTCCTTGATCCACTTTATGCCTTCCGTGTTGGTAAGCCAACACTGCTCGGCATTTTGCATCATCCTGTCAATGTTAGACATCCTGGTGGATAAGTCCTCGATTTTGAGGTTCACACCACCAATCGCAGGATGATTGGCTTGACTATCCACAAGGGATCTCTCGATTGTTTCGATACGAGCAACAAGCTCGGCAACTCGATCAGAGATAGATTCAAAAACAGTTTGGACTTGGACGATCGATCGAGCGACGTCGTCGTAGCTGGCCCGTTCATTCAGGGCATCGCCTAAGCTAGTCGTACGATCAGAAACGATCTTGACTCGTTGGCCAAGCTCGGCTACGACATCCCTAGCCCCTTGCGACAGCTGCATTGATGTATTTGCAGCCTGCGTACATGCGTTATTCACATGGACGCATTGGTCGTACTTGGCTCTCCACGAGTTGACCTCAGTGGTTAGTTGCCTGATGCATTGATCACTTCTATCATTCCTACGCCCAAGGTCTTCGACCTTAGCAACCAGGCGATGAATGATTGCACTTACGGAAGAGTCCACCTTCCCTCATTCAAGGGCCGTGACAAGATCAGCAACCTCATTGGGCTGATCTTCACCCATCGGACTATGCCTTGATCCATGGTCCCGGGGAGTGGACAGATCAATCATGACTGGATTAGATCTCGGAGGAGTCCGGAAATCATCTTGCACGGCCGTTGATGGTCGTGGGAACTCACTCCGATTAGGAGATTGGCTCTGGTATGGCGCTGATCCCCTAGCATCACGAACCGCCGAGGGTTGTATAATGCCCATGCCTTTGGCAACGGACAGTTTAGGAACAATAGGCCTATCACTTCGCATAGGAACATCAGGTCTCGAGTCAGCAATAACAACGGCGTTCAAATCGGTCGCGTTGGACACTCTAGATTCAGACATCGATTCGATATCAGTCGCATTACTGATGGTGTGATTGCGACTGGAACTTGATGCCATCATGGACTCGGATTCTATCGGAACGTTAGCCCCGTCCATGTCGTCGAGTGCGAAAAAGGAAGCCGCGTTGGGCGTAGGGCGAACACTTTGTGCGTTCAAGCCATTTGACCTATTAAACTCCTCCTGGAATGCTTCGATCCCATCAAGCACGTTAACGAGCGTGTCCGCATTTAACGGGTCTCTTCCAATGATCGACGCTGGGTCTCCTGATCGACCGCGTCCTGACTCCCGCGCACTGGGGTTTCCCCTGTGGGCAGTTTCCCGATCCATTCCCCTTGCCCTATGCGATCCAGTCGAGTTTGACCTTGATCGCTTGCTCGGAGTTGGACTGGGATGCAAATCCAATCTGTCTACAATGTTCCGCTCCCTAGGGCTCTCAAATCCTGAAAGTCCTGGGGGAGGGGACATGTTCCTCATGGTCGGGTTTACCGACGGCCTTGGCCTGACGTTACGGCTGGCCACATCAGGATTGAGATTCTCAATCGACAATGGCAGCATGAATTCATCCCGTCCAGCAGCCCGTTTTGGGCTTTGGAATTGCGGGAAAGATGACGGGGCGGGTGGCCCAGGCATCCATGCGGCGAAATCCATGCCAAAAATGTTTCCGTCGCCGGGCCATGAGGCTCTCCAATCTAGCCCACCGGGTTCGGTTGGCAGATGAACATCAAATGCAACTCCACTGGATGTACCAGGTTCGGGATTACCGAGCACTTGAAAAGCTATGCTACTGGTTGGCACAGGTCTACTGCTACCTCGGGAGTCACGAACCTCGGACTGACCAATATTCATCAGCCCGGGGAAAGATGAGGATTGAGCTCCAGGTGCAATACCGGGCTCGTCATCATCACGTCCTGAGACGGAATCATCATGGTCAGGACGATTAGTCCCACGACCCTGAGAGCGATTAGCTCTTGAGGCATTAGACGATAGATCATCAGTGCGAGTAGCACTGGACCTCTCTGAAGGCATTGCTTCTGAAAAAGTATGGTCCGACAAAAAATCAGGACCGGAAAACATCGGCTGTCCGGGCACTTGGTCGTCATTCACAACGTCCAAGATTCCGGCCTGGCCGAGAACCCATTCGTCGGTCACCGCATGAGGTCCATCCTCAGTGATTCCCGCCATGACGCCTACAGAAACCTACGGTACCTGCAGGGTTGTTATTAAAAGGGGTTCGCGGTGCTTTCGGGATGGATAAAACAGGCCCTAACCCACCAACAAGAAGAGACCACCTTATCCCCCCGGTCCCAAGGGCAAGGCAGTTGCCCCCGGCCGGCACTAACACGAACCAAAAGGGGTGCCTCGTTTGTAACAAGAAGAAACCAAGCAGCAGCGCAGCAGAGCGCAGGGCAAGCAAGCAAACCAGCAGCAAGCAGCACCGAGCGAGCAAAGCGAGCAAGAGCAGCGCACCCCAACCAAATACCCGACCCACCTCCAGGAGAAAGAACACCGCACCAAGGACAGCGGCCGCGCGAACACGAGGCCGATGTCGAAGCGCGACGTGCCCTTTTCCCGACGAAATGGCGGGTGAAGGTTGCCGAGTGAAAAGCTTGAGCCAAATGCCGCATTGGGCACAGGCATGAGTTAAACATGTTGTGATAAAAGTACATGCCCCCAAAAACAGTGAGAAACGAAAGGGCGTAGAAGATTGGCTGGGTAGGTTCTTGGTGGGGAACGAAGGGTATACAATTTTTGGACGCGAACGAACAAGCAAAGTACATTGTCTGTGCTCTACCTTCACTAAATGCAGCCAGTCTCAAAAATTAGGCTGCTCAACAATCAAGGTTGTGAGACAAAAAGCAAACAAACAGATCAGAGTCAACACAACCCCTCTGGCACCAGGTTTCACCGTATTTTCCTACATCTCTCCATGGAAACCCGGTTTCCCCCGCTATGGCGGCTATGGCGACTATGGCCCGCGCCATCTTGCCACGCACCATCTTTGGCTCTGGCTTCGGCTCGGAGAAGATGACCGGGGCCACGGACAGCCGCGCTTCTCGGATGCAAACCTGGCAGCCGACTTCTGCCGACTGCGCGACTTCAGCCGACTTCTGCGGTCTTCGTTTAGGACACGGCTCCTCGCACAAAGCAGGTTGTTGAATATGATACAATCTCCAAGACAGAAACGGTACTTGACTTCAATTTTGCCGCGGGTCGCAAATGATGTAAAATCCAGCCTGCTTTCAGACTTAAGCAACAAGCAAACATCAAAGATGCGCAGGTTCAATCATGGAGGAAACTTCGAAAGCCAGCTCCAAGACCTCCACAGGCACGATGTTGACAAGAACCAATTTCAAAACTCTGGGTGTCCGAGACTTTTGGTGGCTGCACTATCCCTTTGCGCAGGGTTTGGACTCTCTGCCTGCCGGCTAAGCATCTGGATAGCCGTATTGCCAAAAAGTCATATTAACAAACTAGTGGCCAATACACTAGGTTGCTGACCAGCTGACTGGCTGGCATATTGAGTAACATTGAGTTTGAGAGAACACAATGTTACAGATCTCTACAACAAGTGGGAGATCCGATTGCACCCAGGACTGAAATGCAGGCGTCGCAAACGGGGAAATATACAGTTGTACGCGCCCAGAACATCTCCAGTTTGATCCAAATTTGCAGATTGATCCTGATCCAAGCGCGGCCAAAAAAACATCCGCAGCAATGGGCCCCTGCCGAGCGCCTGCGCCAGCTCCAAGACCTTGCAGCCCAGTCGCAGGGAGGCCTGGCGCGGCGTTTCACCATATGGCTGTGGGTCAAAATCCCGTCCCCCAGTGAACGTCCCAGTCCCCACTGAAATAGACTAAAATGGGTGGTGCACCTATCCCACAATGGTACCATTGGTTTTGACCCACAGCCAATATTTCCCCCTTGCCCCGTCAAACAAACAGTGCACACTGGCATAAAACGAAGGATCAACCTGAAACTGGCAGATTTGGACATAGCAAATAGCAGCCGGGAAGCGAGCGACCATGGTTCAACACTCGGCTTCTGGACTCCCATCGGATCAAACAAGGCAAAGTGCTCTGATGCTTTCTCCCCTGGGTTTCTTCCTCGTCTTTACCACGCAGAAGTTTCAGCTGTTGTACATCTACCTATGGGCCGCAAGCTGCTCACGCACCACAAGACTCAATTAAGTATTGGCTGGCTGTTTGTTTTTCCACACTTGTCCATTGTCTTCCTGGAATGTGGCTGTCGTGTACCTGTAGCCTTGCAGTCTTTCCGCAGCTTTTCGTAGTCTTTCCTGTCTAGTAGTAAGACGTATCTCTATGACTTGGCACTCATTGAGCCGAAGGCTTGCCGGCCAGGTGCTTATAATCACGGGTTCTTTGTGGAATATGTGTTTCGTTGGTTAGGTCAACTAGCTCCTACCGGGGATGCGGCCTTTCATGCTACCCAGTACAAAACGATTCACGTCAACCACGATTTCTGACCGTTTTCACAACGAGGCCGCCGCTGAGAATGCTGGGAGAAGTCACACTGGGTCTCCACAAATGAATTCAAGTTGCAGCCAGGAAAAGGACTGGGGATGGCTGGGAGTGGATCTATTTGAATACGCCCAGGTCCCCGTGACTCTGGACGAGCTCCGACTGACCAAGGCACGGAGCTCAAAACCCATGCGAGGCGCCTTGGCCATGTACTCTTCCGTGTCATCGTTGACCACCGTCCTCGCAGCTCTGAGTGTCACGAGAAAGAATATAGAATTATGGAAATCAGATGCAAAGTTTGTTTGTTGTGTCCGTTCAAAGATGAATTCGTAAGATTGGGGCCCCGGCACTGAGATCACCTCCTTCCCTTTCCGTTCCGCCTCGCTCCGCTTGATGCGGGCTTCCTGCAAGCAAATCAAGTGACCCAATTTGCCAATGCCCTGTCTGCACGCTGCCACCTCTGAGGTCCCTTTGCCCCCCACTCTCCTCCTCTCGGACAGCCTGCTCAGCCTGGGCTTGCTCCGGAGCAACCATAGCAACCCTCAATCCGTCGGAATCCGGAACCCACAGATCTTCGGAGCGCCTCCTCCAAGGCTTTCTGCTTCAGGTCTTCCAAGCGCTGACGCTCTGCCTCTCATCTCTCGAGCCACGCGCGACCGCGATCGATTCGCCGGCCTCTTCTTTGGCCTTCTTGGCCGCCACTCGGGCCGCTTCTCTCTCTTCCTCGCCAAACACCAACGAACACAGCCGCAAATGTCACCCCAGGGCCAGGCCAGGCCTCCTCCCT